CGTCCGTCCGTCCGTCCGTCCGTCCGTCCGTCCATCTCTATTGAATGCTTTCATACTCTGCTTTTAGCATGAGTAGTTTACAAAATATGTGATATAGGACAATCCTCGTGCTCAGGATTAAAATTCAAAATTTAGAACATGAGATACAAAGAATAAGGGGCGTGGAGAGAAGAGGGGGAAAGGCCTTGAGTGGACATGAAATAAATAGGTATCCAACTGTGCTTCTCTAAGCAAGTAAAGCTAGAGCTTGAATATCTGCTGTGAAACTTAGCAGTACGGGATTCTTCACAGGCCCAAAGAGTGGCATCTACTATGGCAGCTCAAACAGCCTTTACTACCTCTCCAGTTTTTACTAGCTGGAAGATGTTTATTCCTCCAAACCATTACGTCCCATATTGGTCATTTGAGTACTACCAAAGTGAGTATATCTGTTGATGCAAATTTTAATGATAGTGTCAAGAGCACTGCCCTTTGCTGTTGTAAGGGTCTCTTAGTCTTGTCTTTGTGTTACCTTTGTTTGCTAGCCTCTGAGGTTGGCCTTTGGAGAGGACTCAGCAGATAGGTGCTCTCTTTTTATTTTTGCTACTTGCCTTCACTGCTCTTCTGGGAGAGGCAGGGTATTTAATTCCACTCCACCCTAAAATAAGCACATCACTATCAGTGTTTCTAGTATTTGAATGTCAGTGCCATTGCTCATGTAGTCAAAATCAACACCAGTCACATGAAAGAGGGAGATACTGGGAGGCTTGGAGGTGCATGAGAAGACTAAGAAACTTTAAGAGAGGAATCCCAAACAATGATGACTGAACAGGCTCAGTGATAAAAGTGTGCTAACAGACTGTAGAGGTCAGTTGGGGGAGTAAAATGAAGTTAGAAGACATGAAAGAATGGAAGAAAGCATGCCCGCTTGACTGGAATGGTTAACAGAAGCACTTTACATTTGCAGGAGTACTGGGCAACACATTATTGTGGGTACACCAATAAGAAGAAGAACAATAACGGACCAAGATAATTTATCCCTTAACCATAATAAAAAACAAAGGACTGTACATGGTGCTCATGTAGAGCATCATGGGGACCATTTGTCCACTGCATCATTTAAAGCCCAACAAGGACCTTAGGACCCATTTCTAGCTGGGTCAATAATTACATGGCAAACACATACATTATGCCTTCATCCATGTGGTTTTAGGCAGTACATGCAATGGCAGAGAAGGGACTTATAGAAAAGCAATCCACTGCATGCTTTTATCACACTTGAAGAATACCTAAGAATTCTGTTGTTAGAAAGTTCAAAAGATGGTGGTGATGATGGTGATTTCCTTTTGCCTACAGGTTGATGACCAAATGAAACTCCTTCAGAACTGCTGGAGCGAGCTCTTAATACTAGATCATATTTATCGGCAAGTGGTACATGGAAAGGAAGGCTCCATCCTTCTAGTGACCGGGCAACAAGTGAGTTGGCATATTAAAAATAGTGGTGTTGTTGTTTTGCATTAACTTTCTTCATAAACAGTATAATTGCAATTGTGTTCCAAGCACTTCCATGTGTTACACGAAAATATTTTCCATTGAATGCAGGTACTCGCCATGATAGAATGTAGGTAAAATGATGTGGCTGCTCTCATCCAATAATGATAATCATTACATTTAAAAACAATGGAGGGTGCCTCTACTAGATATGCTAGAGTGGGGCACCCTCCCATCCCAGTCCACAAGCCACCCCCTACATAAATGCAAATATGAACTTTGTAATTTTTTAAATCCCCCATGTAAGATATAGTAGACTAAAAGCATAACGTCTATCGTATTACATCAATCCAACTGGAAAAAAAAATGTATATGCAATAAACTGATATTTTCTCTATTCCTTCTTCCTTTCTACACACACACACCAGATAAATTATAAATCAGCCAAAGCTATAAATAACGCATAGTGGAATTCAAAGCAGTCAGTGGACAGAATCTTGTTAGCTATGCCTGCTAGCATAACAAAAATGGCATAACATTTGGAAGGAAATAGCCTGAAATTATGAAGGTAGCCTAGATGGTTGTTGTGGGTTTTTCGGGCTCTTTGGCCGTGTTCTGAAGGTTGTTCTTCCTAACGTTTCGCCAGTCTCTGTGGCCGGCATCTTCAGAGGACAGCACTTCAGAGGACAGCCTAGACATTATATGTTATGTATCCAGTTTGTATTATGTGAGCAAGTAAGATTTGGGCCAGTATGTATTCAATGGACCATCCCAGAAAGACAACAATAGCACTCAAAACAATGAAGACCAATAACGGAGGAACCAACATTGCTAATCAAGAATGGGCTTCAGTCCACAAACTTTGGCCAAACAAAACCTGATAGAGTGTGACTAGAAGGCAAGGGGAATGCAAAATCATTTCTGTTCTGTTCAAAATCAGATCTGTTCATATTAACTGGTTAACAAAGGGAGACAGGAGGAAAATCTTGTTTGGACATCTATTGCAATCCTGCAGGAGGCACAATTACAAGTAAAGTAACTAATAAGCTGTAAGCAAGGGTTTCCTCCTCTCCTTTCCTCTTCTAAAGGACCAAGCTGTTTTTAAAAAGTAAGAAAAGTCTTGCCAATAGAGAGGGGCCTTGCTTGCTGTTCCTCTGTGTGTGTGTGTATGTGTGTGCGCACGCGTGTGCGTGTGTGTGTGCCAGTGCTTTGGCACCATGGATACAACTTTGTTGTTTTTCCTGCAACAAACCGACCATAACTACTACCCTCTAAAAATGTAAAAGCATTGTTTGAGTTTATAAATCTGTGCTATCATTGAGGCTACGGATGGTTATATTTTAGTCAAGGCTTTGCCTAATCAATATATAAGCATAGGATTTTGGACTGAGTATAGGATTCAGCATCCCTGGATTTATGTCCCCAAACCTTAAGACTTTGAAGACTGTTTGAAAGCATAAGGATAAATATATGAGCAAATCTCAAAAAGCTTGAAGCAAAATTTCCATTTGTCAGGGCACTTTTTGTTCTCCCCTGTGGCTATCAAAAAGCAGTACTTTACATTTTGCAAAGTTAAGTACAATCTTCTGTTGTGTCCAAGGTATACAACTTATGTAAGTACTGGAGTTCCTGTATTAGCATAGTAGCCGTGTTTATTTACATTACATCAGAGAAGATGCTATATGACCATCCCATTCTAGAACCTGTTGTATTTCCTCTGGCCCTACACTCTTGCAGCTAAAGTGCTATACTGGGCCTGAGAAATAGAAATTAAATTTTTTTGGCCTGATTTAAATGCTCGGAGCACTGGTCATAGAAAAGTTACTCATCTGGACTACAACATTTTGGGAACTACAGCCCTAAACAGTTACTTTTGTCTAAACATGTGAGCAAAATGAGGAAACAGAATTGGTGCCATTTGGTGGGTAGCAGATGATGGATCTGCAGCACCCAGTATAACTGTGTGAAATGAGTTGTCCTGCTGAGATTCAGCTGCCAGCGTACCTTTAGCCAACACTGAAAGTAAGAACACAGAAAGAATATAGTTTTAAAATAGAATTATGCATAGCCCAGATGTTCTGGACCACAGCTCCCATCAGCTCTAGCTAGCATAGCAAAGGGTGAGGTATGCTGGAAGATGTCACCCAACAAGATCTATAGGACCACACTTTGCCCCTTCCTACACTTTAAAAGTCACAACATTTTCTTAAAAGCTACCTAGAGCACAATCCCCACAGTCCTGCACAAGGTTCACTAAAATCTGTTTCATGCTTTTTTAAAAACACTGTCACCAAATGTACTATCTTGAGTCATGCGCCAGGGTGTTGTGCCGCTGATGGTCCGTTTGACGAGTTGATGCAAGAGAACTTCCCACTGCCTCGTAGCCATGTTTCATTTGTAAATTTCCAAGAACTAGGCAAAGTAAACGAGAGCGACAAGGCAAATTAAATCAAAGCTGTATTCTTTGAAACTGTCTTTCAGCTCTAACGGAAAAGAATGTCTGGTGTCATGGGAAAGCAGAGCACATTTGGTGCATTTTATTTCTGATTCAAAGTGAAACCAAATGATGGTCCACTGCATTTAAGTAGCTGAAACCTAAACTGCCCCAGTTTATAGACATACTGAGGAAACAGTTGCTTGTTTGGACTGCGATCTCCATGATTCAGTTGCTAGCCCAAACTTGCACAGAGAGCCTTACCCATAATTCAAACCATGTAGGTCCTTCCTTTGTGGTCTTCTTGTATGGATTGTTGTATGCGCCGGCAGGAAGAAATACATTACATGCTAAGGCAGGTTAGCAGAGCCGCATTAACCCACAGGAAAGCACCAGTCAAAGTTAAACAGTTTTGAAGCCCCATTGATTTCAGGAAGAACTGCAGTGCATTATGTGCCTTGGAAATGCATCAAACCTGGGACCCTTCTTTCCCGCTCAGAAGCTAAGAGCTATTCCATCTGGCTCTGTGCCAGCTAATTTCTGAACTCGCAAGCCACCTCAAAAGCTTTTGAACAAACAAGCATGGGTCGCAAAGACAAAATAGAGCATTTTATCACGTTTCAACAGTAACAAGAGCACTGACTACAAATCATTGGAAGATAGTGTTTTTTGTAGGGTAGAGATAGTTTCAGATCAAATCAAAGGTCTGAGTCCAATAACATTTTTGAATTTGCCTTGTAAGGCTATTTCCAAATCCAACCTCGTGTATGTTTCTGACAGCATTTGTTGTTGAGACCTTGGAAGCCTGCAGACTTCATTTTCATTTTAGCCCATCACATATGTTCTTCTTTGACCTTACAATTTAATAAATACACTAGAAAAATGGGATGGGGAAAGAAAAGGAAATCAGCAAATCTACTGTTAACCACATTTTTCCAACATTCACAGTTTTTTCTTTCTATTTTCATTTCATTTAACTGTAGTTTAATTTAATGATTGTATTGATAAGTTGGCTAAGCAATGCAGTTATCTTTAGTCTTGAATAGATAAGTTCAGTCTCAATTGTAGAAAAGGCAGCTATTAATCAGCAAAAATTAATATCAATTTAGAACCCCAATACTATTATCTAAAGCCAAACATCTTTCTCTAGCTTAAGGTAGATCCCAATGAAAGCTAGTTAATTAATAATGCACTAATTAGTAATTAGTTATAGTTTCAAAATTCGTCAAATCTTAGAACTATAACTAATTACTAAAGTCCAGTCACAGCTGCAATTTTAAAAAAATCACTATTTTCATCTTGTTCAGCATAACTGAAACTATTGCTTTAGTTACTTCTTTATAAGATCAGAATAATACAGACTGCTTGGGTATGGAACAAAGCACTCTGAGGTAATAATACCTACTCACCCTGCAAGTATTAAAATAGCAGTGCAATTTAATTCAGGTATGTTGCCAGCTATAATGTGCTTGGAATGGGCAGAAGCCACTTCTGCCACCACACCTGCCCTTCTATGTGCACAACTGGGCTTGTGCTGGTTAATTCCAGAGGCCTACCACGGCACAACTGCTGTGCGAACTAAGAGCAGTCAGCAGAGGAGCCAAGACAGCAGCCGAGAAGGGGGTGGGGTGAGAGACACGCTGGGTTATGGCAAGTCCAAACCCCCACCAGCCCAGACACGCAGCTGCTGTGCCAGCCTCAAGTGAGACCCAGGTAAGGGCAGTTCTAAATGATTTCCAGCAGCCTTTCATTGGAAAGGGTTTGGGCTCATCACAGATTCCCTTGGACTAATATCAGTTCAGATGGGCCCCCAGACATCTTGACTACTAAGGGCTGCAGTTTAAAGCAGTTGTAGTCACACTGCAAAGATGCATATCTCTGTCCACAACATGATACTTATTTAGGCATGTTGCACGTGCATCTTTGAGATTTACATTCCCACCTAAAACTACCAGCTGTCATGAGCAACTGCTTACCCGTAACTACAATGGGACAGTTGCTAGTTACACTGGTGGTATGGTTAGCAGCAGGAGGCAAGGCATGGTTAGATTACTTAAGTTAATGCTCAATATTATTTGTTATTCACTTACTGAAAGTACTTACAAATCCTAGTCAGTTAGATTTGTTGCCTGATCTTGATGGGTCACACTCCTCCTGCAGGATCAGGCCCGTAATCTTGGTGTCCTCTTTGACCCAGTCCCCTCAATGGAGAAACAGATCTTGGTCTTGGCCAAATCTCCATTTTTTCATCTGACGTAGATTGCACATTTCCACCCCCTTCTCAACAGGAAGTCTCTAGTAACACCGATTCATGCATTGATAATCTTAAGGATTGACTATTGCAATTCTATCTACATGGGGCTGCCCTTAAAGGTAGTTCAGAAGCTGCAGCTAGTGCAAAACAAGGCGGTGAGGTTGGTCGTTGATATATCTAAAACTGACTATATTTCACTTGTCCTGGCCCGCCTGCACTGGCTGCCATTATGTTTCCAGGCCAAATTCAAGGTACTGATGTTAACTTACAAAGCTCTTCAAGGTTTAGGACCTTGCT